GGCCTCTGAAGTTCCCATTCAGCCTGGGATCTCCAAGATCCTCTCCAAGAAGCCGATAAAGATTGTCCACTGTACCTGTAACTCTCCCAGGATCCATACCCTAGAAACTGGACCTCCCTCCCTTTGCTGTACCCAGCACCCAGCAAGGAAGCCAGGAGATCTCAGAGGGAGCAGGTAACTGTCCCACTGGCTTTCCTGTGGCCTTATTTCTGACAGATTCCAGGAAAGACACATACATGACCAGCTGAAAGCCAAATGGACACTAGTGGACTCCCCTAAGGGTGGGTGTCTGGATGCCCTCCTTTGGTCCAGCCACTGCCTTGAAGATGGACTGCTTACTGGCTTCAGGGAAAGAGATAGAGTAGGGAGGGGAAGATTTTTGAGGTCCCCTGTGGACAGGGGACAGTCTTTCCAGGCAGCCCGGACTCAGAATTGAAGGCAGGGCAACTCACCTCACATGGGAGCTGGACCACAGCCAGAAGTGCTCTGTGGTGTCCCAGCACACTGGTTCAGATTGGGGGTTTGGTGTTTGAGTTAGGTCAGACTTGGAGCTCTTTGTGATCTCTCAAAAGTCCAGAACTGCCCACTGTTGGAACCCAACAATTTGGCTTGGCCAAGGGCATCCTGAAGAGATCAGACCAGGTGATCTGAATTTGAACTGACACACACCCAAACTCACACTTCACCCCGATGGTCATGTTTTGGGGAGATGTACATGCGAGAGGCCTTGGAGAACACCTTTCACCTTGGCCTGGGCTCCTGCCAGGAATATTGTCTCCCTGGCTGAGTTTGCTAGTCCTATCAGGGGAAAGCCACGTACTGCAGGGAAGGTGAAGAAGGTTGATGCGGACTTGGAGGAGCCCCTCAACTGGAAACAATACAGGCTTCCTTCCTGAGGCAATTCCTCCAGATAACCATATCCAGCTAAGCAAGGTCACACCCTCTCATTTCCTTTAGGTGGGTTCTGGAGGCCATGTGCTCCCTTTTCTGTTTTGCTACCTTAAGGTCAGCTGGCAATGCACTCCTCTAAGTACAGGCAAGTGACTACAGACGTGTTCTAAGGGTGTCAAATGAGGACATTTTTGAGCCCATTATGCATCATCTCTATAAAAACACAAAAAGGTTCAGAGAAAGGAAGTTATTTAGTTTTGTAGGATTTTAAAGATGCAGCTTAGAGCTACACATCAGCAAATGTTAAACCAGTATGCTTGTTGGTGATGACACTGCCTGAACCAGGTGCACTGTTGCAGTGCTCAGGTGCACTGTTTCAAGAGCTGGACTTATCTAGTAGGTAGTGTTGACCAGTTGGCTTGTTGTTTGAGCTAAGCTGTATAGAAAAGGAACCAACAGCTAAACATAAATGCTAGTATATTTTATTTCTAAGTTATGAAAAGAAATATCCCTAGGGATCAGGTATATTTGAATCACATCAACTGGTTGTTTAATATGAATTTAACAGTAGCATATTTAAAAATTTAGGAAACCCCTTGTGAAGTTGAATGTGGTGCACTGCCACAGGAGGCTGGGAAGATGCAAGTGTGGGACTCGCTCATGGGCCAGGCAACCGTGCAGGTGCAGAACTCACAATGCCATGCTGTCTTCACATGGAAATACTGCGGATTAAAGGCAGGCTTCAAATCCTCCCATTTGATAAGGTGAGTTTACATGATAGCAAGGCCTAAGACACACTTAGTCTCTATTGGCACTTGTTCTAGTCCAAAGCCTAAAAAAAAAAAAAATTCCTACTGTGTCTCATATGCAGTCTGTGTCCTTAACATTAGAACATCATTATACTGGCAGCTGGGTGATGACATCAGTAAATACCTTTCTCAGAAAAGCCAAAGTCAGGGTCCTGTGTATATATTGAGGAGATTTCTACTGCAGGTAATGAGCAGGACAGCTTGGATAAGGTACTTGCTTTATAATAATTACCTTTATTATGTGGGACAGAACAAGAAATTTTAATTCTCGTTACAAGAACTTTTAATTCTTTTATGACTTAATTTTTATCTTTTTTTTTAAAAGAATAACAGGTTACACTGCTGAGATCTCCCTCCTTGGGCCAAAAGAACAGCGAAGGAAAAGGTAAAGTAATATATTATGAGGGAATGTTACAAGTACATAAAGAGTATTGTATTTATTTTTCCTGTGTCTATACTTTCTCTTTTTTGTGTGTTGGAGAGGAAATTCTAAAAATATTTGATAGATGATTTTTCCACTAACACCAGAAAACTTGGGGGGGGGATTTGTTTAATTGGTAGAAAACCAACATAAATCAAAGCAATCTGTTGCTGCCACCCTTTATAATATTCTAAGAACATAACTGATTTACATATTTGCAGCATAACTCATTTAAAATTTTCAGTCTTATTTTTTAACCTTTTATTGGGGAGAGATGACGTTATAACGCCTGGGTAGTTTGAAATTTGGCCACATACCTTTAGTTTTTTCAATTGTGTGAACAAATATTTTAATGTTAAACAGCTTGCAAGTATTAAATGGCTCGTTCGTGATTTACTTATTTTTATAGATTTCTCCCTTCAAATCTAATGACTCCACTAAGGCTTCTTTTTGGAAAGAATGTGTTATAAGTCAGAGATTGTGGAAGGACATTCTGAGTGCTGACACTGCTGCTCAGGCCACCCAAACACATCCAACACTTAGAAATTCTTAAAGGGAAGCTGTGGAAATCTATCAGAGGGTTTTGTTGTTGTTATTGCTGCTGCTGTTTACTTTAAGTAAGAGGAAATCATGTTTTTTAGCTTAGGATTTAAAACTATCAACCGAGGGAGCTCATAGCTCCTGGGAGAGGTGAGCCTCTTGCAGGAGCAGCTCTTTGCAATTGAGGAAAGGAGCGCGGTGAGCTAGGGTCCGAGAGGGCGCTGTTTCACCGACCCCAGGTAAAAAAAATGTGTGGACCTGTAGCGACCAAAGGCTGAACAAAGATCACACTCCCTGAACGCACTCACATCTCGGAATCACGCTGGCCTTGCAGCGAGCAGGATCATGTAGAAAACAAACATCCCTTGAACCGGTCCCAGGCGCTCGCGTTCACTTCACAAAAGACAGAGCAGCCTCGGGGCGGAAATCCACGGGTGCCACGATCCTTCCCGGGAGGGTACACCGCCCGGGACCAGAGCAGGCCGTCTTTCCCCGCGTGGCCCCGCGGACAGCCCCGCTCGCCCCTGCCGCCCCTGCCGTCTATGTCCAGCGGCCACGGCGACTGCGCGCCACGGCAGTCCTGGAGTCGCGTCGGGCGCTCGGGAGCCGGGTCGCCCAGCAGGAACTCAGGAGGACAGAATCCTGTCGTGGGTGGAAGGGTCGCGCGTGGGTCCCCTCTCCGATCCCGAGGGGTGTCCCCATCCTGGCACAGGTTTCTGGGACGCGCGCCAGGTGTCCCCGGCTGTTCCCCAACCCGGAGAAGTGCGGTCTGGACCTGAAGTTTGCAAAGTTCCTGCTCCTAAGCAAATGCTCTCCTCCTCTTGGCCGATGCCTCCCGCCCAGCCCGGCCCAGAAAGCGCCAGGAGGCACCTCCCGTAGCGTCCCGACCTTCCCGGCGAGTCCAGGGACCTCCGCACCCCAGGCCCAGGGCGGTGTCCCGTCCCGTCCTCCCCGCTCGCCTCGTCGCCGTGCGGCCGACCGCGGGGTCTCAGCCCTGCAGCCCGGGATCTGCGGCTGCGTCGCGGCCCGCGTGCCCCGCAGGACCTCGGCTCGCAGAGGGAGCAGCGGGTCCGCCCACGCTCCCGGCCCGCCCGCCCGGGACCGCGAGGTCCGGCCCGCGTGGGGGAGGCGGGGACAGCGAGTCCCCGCCCGGCCGGCGGGCGCGCGTTCCTCGGGCGCCACCTCTGTGCGGCTCGCTCACTGCCGCAGGTCCCGGGAGCGTGTGAACTTCCTCCTCCCGCCGCCAACCTGCGCCCCCGCGCGCCTCCGCCGGGACGGCCGCCCGCCCGCGCCCTGCGCCACCGCCCGCCGCCACCTGGGCCGCCGGCCGGCGACACGCGCGCCCCGAGCCTGTTCCCGGGGCGTGTGGAGTCAGCTTTCCGGAAGCAGCCAGCCCACCAGAGGAGGTAGACGCGCGGCTATGCATATATATGTGGGTCTCGCCACAAGTGGCTGCGGACGCGGAGGGCCCGGCTCGCCCCGCAGTGGACCGCGGGGGGAACTTGCTTAGCTTCCTAAGCGAGGAGCTCCAGGGCTTGGTGGCCAGAGGAATTAGACATTGCTATGGGAGACGTGTAAACACACTGCGCATCGCCAGTGCGTGTATAAAACATCTCGTGCTCGCTATTATTTCAGGGGAAGCGCTTCTGACTCTTCTATTTCTCCCTTTTTGGCCCGTTTTTGCCTGTGTGGTTTAGGAGCAGCGCAGCTGGAGTAGCTGGTTTCTAAGTAAGTGAGAGCCGGAGGCTCGGGGAACTTTTCTTTCCTTTCTTTTCTTTTCCTTTCCTTTTCTTTTCTTTCGTTTCTTTTCCTTCTCTCCCTTTTTCTTTTTCCCCACTCGGGAGAGGCCCTCGCGGGTGAGGCGCTGTCCGACCAGGCTGCGGACGCGTGGGAGCAGGCAGCCGGGCTCAGCCGCGTCCCTTCCTCCTTGCAGATCCCCGGCCAGCCAGCGGAGACGATGCTGCGGAGACTGGTCCAGCAGTGGAGCGTCGCCGCCTTCCTGCTGAGCTGCTCTGTGCCCTCCTGCGGGCGCTCGGTGGAGGGGCTCGGCCTCCGGCTGTAAGTGCCCATCCCCGGGAGGGTGGGCGGGCGGACGGGCTGGGAGGCCCGGGACGCGGCCACCGCGAGCCTCGCCCCGGCGGGAGAGAGGACCTCGCGGCTACCTGCGAGGAGCTGCAGCTGGCCCTGCAGGAGGACGAACTGGCCGTGCGTCCCCGGGGGGCGAGTGTGGTGAGCTCCCGCCTGTGGTGCAAAGAGGTTTACCGAGCGCCCGGAGTTGTGTCACTCTAAAGAAGCTGAGGACCAGAGGATGCAGGTCTGCGCACGTCTCTCCACTCCGAATGCGGGTGGCAGCGTGAGTGTGAGAAGCAAAACCCTTACATCCAGTTTTTTATGAGTGACATAACTTTAAGCATATAAAATATTATATAATGAAGGCATATTATATAAGAAAGTAGTGAGTGTGCCGGGACGCGCTCCTAAAGGCAGCGTTCGGGAAGACCGGAGTGCTTGGTTCCAGAGCGAACTTTAGGTACAGAAACTTTCTTTTTCTTGAAATTGTTACTAGCAGTTCTTTAATCTGGAGGCAGATATTTGCATGGTAGACCAAAAAGCTTGTACTTTGGCATTCTCTTGTGGTGATTCTTCAAGGACAGTTTTGGCTTAGGAATACGGACACATGCTAGCCACCCAGAGAGGAGACTGTGTTCTGTGACTTGGAAGTGGCGACAGTGGCAGAGCGACACTGTCTGGGGGGGAGCTGGCAGTTCCAGAGCGTGTGTCACACCTTCCTTGGGCAATCCCGAAGCTGCAAAGGCAGTGTTCAATGTGGGGGAACCAAGAGGTCTGACAACCGAGAGGAGTTTGACTCTGGAGAAGGAATTACAGAGAATTTTTACACTTGACAATAAAAGTAGCAGTATCTATTATCTACAGTCAGGTCCATAGGGCTTCCTTGTAAATTCCCGTGGGTATACAAAAAAGCAACTGTTTTATATGCGCCTTGGTCTATTATTATTAGAACAGAAAATTCTTAAATGAAATTATGTTAGACATGTCTGAACCTTGGCACCAAAGTGAAAATCTATTAGAAATCTCCTAAGGCAAATTGTGTAGAACATTGTGCTGCAGATAGAGCTGCATTGTGTTCAGATCAACGTTTTGCTGCTGTATTTTGGAAATTGTCTTCAGACTCTTTGCTCTTTTTCAGACTTGCGTTAAATTCAATTATCTAACATCAGCTATGAATATAGATGAAGACTGAAATTTTAAAAGTGCATTTACATACTGTATTTATTTGGCTAAGAAATACTGTCTTGGAACAGAGCCAATTTTTTAAAAGTTGCTTCAGAAATACCTGCTTTCTCTTTTGAGAAATAGTAAATGAACCATGATTGAGTCCACAAGCACAGCATAAAAATAGTGTTAAGTTGCTCTAGTGGCTATTTTTTAACTCTTTCTTTATCACACCTTGCAAAATACATATCAGAAACCATTTAACAGCCAGCAACTCTGTTGTCATTTTGTTTGTGGGTAAGGTATAATATTGTAGTTAAACACTCACACTCAGTTATAAAAGTACCACAAAACATTTTGTAGTTTATGGTTAATGGGTCATCACATTACAGCCATGGTTTTTCGTGGAGGCTGAAATCATCAGTAAATAAAGATGTTTCATCAAATTATTACAGCCAAGTTTAAAAACCAAGTCATTATTTTTGCATTGCTGCCAAGTAACAGTTAATGTGTACTAGACAGAACATTAGTCTACAATTACACAAAATCAGGCTAGCTTCGTGAAAGAAATTTTAACATCTAATCAAATCATATTATGCCCCAATTTTCACACCAAGCATTAGGGAAACTGCTTGAGAAGTACATTTTTCTTGAACCAGGAGGTAACTTTTCAGGAAGAGAAAGTTACTATAATAAGACTTTTTAAACTGTGCAAAGGAGGCCATTACAAGCTGTGATCTTTTAGCCCTGCTAGCCCGAAAGATTAATTTTTAGTATTAGTGTATGTATTTTATACAGAATACTATACTGTTTGTTTATACAGAATAATGGGTTTCTTTGTGGCATATTCATGCATGCAGAATCCACAAGACTTTGATTAATGTGGCCAGAACATCTTGGAGACCTGGAAGTGGGCTCTCTGGATGTCCTTGTGTGGGTAAACGTGGCTTGGCAGGTTCATCTGGGTTTACATTAGGGAGGGAACCTAAGCAGGTTGAGAAGCCCAAAGCATCACTGGCTGATTTACTTGGGAACCAGACTAGGTCTGTTCCACTTAATGAAAAGCATAACTTTCAGCTGAGTCATAGGGGTTGGAGGGACTCCTGGTGAGTCATCTTAACTCCAGTACCCTAACCCTGTCTCCTCTGTGTACCACAGAACTTGTTTCTCAAACCCTGAGTCCCTCCGTCGGATCCTCCCATCAGCACAAGCACCCTGCTTCTTCCTTCACTGGAAGGAATTGCCTCCACTGTTTATTCCCACTGTTCCTTGATAGTACCTTAGAAATTCAATCTTGTTCTCAGAAAACTCTTGTGAGAGTGATTCTTCTTCAAAGAACAGCTGTTTTGACTGTATTTGGAGCTATCATGTGAAGCCTTTTCTCTGGTTTTTTTTTTAATAATAATCAAAAATCATAAAACATAACATATTTGTTTTTCTGTGTCCACTGTTGTACTGTATAACGTTTACAGACATACTGAGTAACAGACTGTTGTCAATGCCATATTTACCTGTTATCTAAATTGCAAAACCTCCATAATCTGAATTTCCTAATTACCAACTTAGGTATATCTAGAGGATACATGCCAGTCATGTATCCCAGTGTCAATTTATGTCTTATCTTGGAAATAAAGAGAACATTTTCTGGACTTTATTCCCTGTTGGTGATGAAGCTATCACTGTCTCTTTACCCCCTGATGCAATTTTTCAATCAGAGCTTTGTACTTTTCAATATTTTATAAGGCAGAAGTCTTGAAACACTAAATAACTTGTCCAACAGCATTTCTAATTTAGCATTGAATAAGATTCATGTTTCCTAATATATATATATATATACATATCAATTTCCTCTAAAAGGCAGATGGAAACAGAAGAACTGTTTTAGACTGGACAGAATTGTAGGCTTTTTATGAAGTAGGGGATAAAGTGATCACTGCACGTCCCATGGGAAGCATTCTGGGAGAGTGGGGCCCTCGAACTCCAGAGGCCGGTGACTCACATTGGACATCTGTATAGTCACGGGGTGAGCAACGGTGGCTGGATTTGAACAGGCCAACCAGGAGACGTGTGGCTTCAGGTTAAGCAAGAGTGGGCTGTACAATAGGCGTAGAGAGCAGTGCCCATTGAGGACTTCAGCCAAGAGTTGAGAAAGAAAGAAAAGCCCCCAATACTCTCCATTCACACTAGCTCAGAACTCCTTTTTCACATGACATTTTGGTAAAAATATGTATTAAACTGCAGTGGTTATGAAATATATAATTCTACCAATCCTATTCTTTTAAAATGTTGTAAGAGGATACGTTGTACTGAAACCTCAAATTCATAGGTTATTAAAAGTTTCCAGATTACTAACAACTGGGACAGAGTAAGTGGCATTTTATCTAGTCACACGTGACACCTTAAAAAAGGAAGAAAGGATCCTGCGTGCCTCCCTGAAGCCAGCTCCTGTTAAATTCCTTTCCATGAAGTCATGTCTTTTCTGCACAAGTTCTGTGGCTCCACGTCAGTCCACAGCTAGAATCCTAGAAGGAAGCTGGCATTCTGGCTATCAGGGCCAGAGAATGACGACTGTTTTCATTTTTGCTGTCCTCATTGACTCACGCGTGAGCCGTTCCTAGACAGACTTCACTGCTCGCATCATACGTCTGTCCCTGTTGGCTTCTAGTTTTGTAGTTTGCTGTTCTTTGGGAGTCAGAATTATTGTTTTCTTAGTGCAGCAACAGGGTGGTGGTGGTGGTGGTGGTGGTGATGGTGATGGTGATGGTGATGGTGATGGTGATGGTGATGGTGATGGTGATGGTGATGGTGGCGGTGTGTGTGTGGACACGCGCATGCACAGGAAGGCTTAGGTGAGTACTCAGGTGAAGCAGCTTCCTTTTTATCTCCTGGGACAGGAATCTGGGTTCATTCCCAACAGAACACTGAAGAGATTGCTGTCTGTTTCCGAGCAGAGCTGAGTACAGCCTGAGCATTTCACATTGAGCAGTCAGCGTAAAAACCACCAATCTGACGCTGTGCTCCTAAGCGGAGGCCCAGGACAGGGTGCTGTGCTCTGGAGGTGCAGAGCCACAGCCGCTGCCCCCCACCCTCCGTGCCCCCGGGGCCTGCCCAGGGCTTTCTGGAAGCAGAAGGTTCGCCCCCGCCCACGTCCTCGCCAGCAGCTGTCCTCTGTCTGACGTGGCTTCCTCTTCTGGGTTTCTTTCAGCAAAAGGGCAGTATCCGAGCACCAGCTGCTCCACGACAAGGGCAAGTCCATCCAGGACCTGCGCCGCCGCTACTTCCTGCACCACCTCATCGCTGAGATCCACACGGCCGAGATCCGAGCGACCTCGGAGGTGTCGCCCAACTCCAAGCCTGCCCCCAACACCAAAAACCACCCAGTGCGCTTTGGCTCCGACGACGAGGGCAGGTACCTGACTCAGGAGACCAACAAGGTGGAGACCTACAAGGAGCAGCCTCTCAAGACACCTGGGAAGAAGAAGAAAGGCAAGCCAGGCAAGCGCAAGGAGCAGGAGAAGAAGAAGCGGCGCACGCGGTCCGCCTGGCCCACCCTGGAGACCCTGCACAGTGGACACAGCGTGGAGCACCCGGCGCCGGTCCCTGCCACGCTGGAGCCCGCGTCACGGTAATGGTCCATTCTGCAGTGGGTGCTCCCAGGGCTCTCCCAGGCGGGCACAGCCGGATGGCACCACACGTGCTGGGCAGGTGTATGTCTGTCCACGATAGTGTCCACCTCTATCCACACAAGACAGCCATCTCCCCTATCCACCACCATTGCACACCACACCACCTCACCCCTGCTCCACTAATGTCACTGTTTAGTCACAGGCTTCAGAATGACCTTCTTCATTATTTCCTTAAAAGTGTATGCATTTGTCTACTCTCGCCTCTTGGCAAACTAGACAATTTTTAGTTCTTTTTTAAAAGTCATTTCATGTCTTTTTTTTTTCACTTTAAGCAAGAATATGGAAGGTTTTGATACTATCAACAAACACTGCAGAACAATTTCTTACTGCAAACAGTTCTGAATTATTTACTATTTACTTAAGCAAATGTATTTAATTAAATTTTAATTGATTTTAATTTAAAGAAATTAAGTTATTTTTAAACAATATTTTATTTTTTTAATTAAATTTAACTCTGATTTCTGCTGGTCCATGAAAAGAAAATGATTTCTGAAAAAATTTTAAACATTGGCTTGAGAAATATTTAAGTTTTTCTCATGCATCTACTTTCCACTGACAAGTTGAAATAAATTTTCCCGGGTAACACAGTAGGAATAATAAGACTCTACACTTATGTGGCTTTTATCCTTAGCTTATATACATGTCACAAATTTTAAAGTCAAATAACTTCAGGTGTGGGGCTGAAAAGTTCATAACCTTTGGCAAGTGACTTAGTTGGAGAACGTTTTGATCTCCTGTGAAATGAAGATGATAACTCTGCCAACCACACAGAGCGGGGTTAGGATTAAACACATTAAATGCCTGTCAGAAACAGTAAAATCACAACACATTGTTGTGCATGTGCTTTTAGACCCAATTCTGATTACACTATATTATCCATATGCAAAAATCCACATATGTCACACCATATGTACATGTGTGTAAGTATTTAAATTTCCTATGTATGTACACGTGGGCCATGTTTCTATGAGGCAAAATAGAGGCAGCTGTTAACTTCACAGTATAAAAATAAAAACCAAAGCACTTCACAGTGAAGACCGAGTTAGTCCTTGGAAAAGAGTATCCTCAGAACTGGGTTTTCCCCATCTCTGTGACTTAGGTCAGTGCTCTGTCAGAGTTATTTCTTTGGCCACACATTTCCACTGATGGACAGCACCTGCTGTTTTGCTTTATTTTTTATGTTATTTTATTTTACTTTTTGATACAGCACTTTTGTAGGGTTTGACAAAGAAAACAACATAACACAAGAACACATCAGATGCAGCTAATGCAATCTTACTATTCAAAGAATTCTGTTACTTCAGTTCTTTGACACTGGCACACATAGATTTCATAAAATGAATCTGTTCACCAGCATTTCTCTCTTTAAAATCACAAGTCCCCATTATTAAATAGCACATAAATTAGAAATTATATTGAATCCATAATACAACGAATGATCAATGAGAAATGGCACTGGAGAACTCTTCAGCAAAGCAAGTGACCCACCTGGTGAGTCTCCCATGGGTCTACAGGATGTAATGACACCCACAGTCCTGCTTTGCTGCAATTAGCATATTTTAAGGTGGGACCCTAACCATGGATATTTATAACTAACATAGCCTACTTTATTGTCAAAACCTATTTTTGTTCATTATACATAAGAATTATTTTTAAACGTATAATTGATTTTTATGGGGTTTGCTCCTTTAAGATTTGCAGTGGTCTTCAAGTACCTGGAAAATTAATAAAAATCAACACTGGTCAGTTCTTGGACCCAATGTGACCCCTAAATTAAAGTACATCTAGTAAAAATTAGACAGTTGCCTAATCAAATCCAGACCCAGCACGGAAAAAAATAGGCCGTCTCTGCTTTGCCTTTACTTCCCTGTTTTTGAGGGACAGTCATAGAAAAAAAGCTCGGCAGCCAGACGGGGGCCTCCTCCCAGCATGACCCTGCAGAGGAGTGGACAGCAGGAAACTGAGGAGAGGACAGCGAGAGATAGAGGACAGGACAGCGGGAGAGTGAGGGGCCTGTTGGTGAGAATGTTTGGGGCCATGCAGGCTTTTGTAATCCAAGTAAAACCTTCAGAACCTTCATTTTAAAGTTTTATAAGTCACCGGTCTTTCTTAATGTCCTCTGTAGCCCTCTACATTAGAGTCTGAAACTCTGAAAGGCTTGATGGGGTGAGAGCCATGAGTTTTATTATACTATACATAGATTTTCTTAGAAGTAAAATTGTCTCCTCTCATATGGCTTTTCAGGAGATATATAACTTTAAATTTTAGGGATTACACTTCAAAGTTTTGATGTTGCCTGTAAGATATCCAGGTACAGTGAGACTCATTAGAAATCATACAGTTTAAGTTGGTAAATATTGATTTTGAAAAATATAAAAAGCTTTTCAGTAATCAGAAGAGCTAAAGTATTGTCAAACCCCCTACATCTATTGCACACAGACATTTCTAGGTCATGTTATGCTTTATTTGTCTCTTCTGTAAATGACTTTGTTAAAACACAGTGCAGAAGGGAAGATAACAAGCCATCCAGACAGATCTTTTCTTTAGTTCTTTTACTCGTTTTTTTTTTTCTTTTTTGAGAAAATAATGCTCAAAATATTTTTCATTGCCTCCTTACTATTCTGGAACTCAACTCACTAAAGTCAGTGTGGTACATGAATTATTGAATTTAGAAGTTTCCCTTTTTACTTTATTCATAACATCTACCCACATCCACCTACATTTGTAAAATAGTAATTTTAAACATTTTTTTAGCATTCCAACCAAAACCATCAGTGAGACCATCCTAAATACTCAGCTTGCTTTTCTTCCTTTAAACTATGCGTAAAACTTCAGAATTCCAGTTGTTCTGCTTATGTGCTGGTGCATATCTGTGATCTTAGCTACCCAGATGGATCACAGGTTCTAGGCCAACCTGGGTAACTTAACAAGATTCTGTGTGAAAATTACCAAAGCAGGTGGAGAAGGAAAGAAAGAGAAAGAAACAGAGAAAACAGAGAGGGGGGAGCAAGGAAGGAAGGAAGGAAGGAAGGAAGGAAGTATTTTAAGGAAGGAAGGAAGAATGTATTTTAAGGAAGGAAGGAAGGAAGGAAGGAAGGAAGGAAGGAAGGAAGGAAGGAAAGAAAGAAAAAACATTTAGAAGGGACCAAGTATGTGGCTCAGTGATAGAGAAATTACTTAGCATGTGTGAACCCCTAAGTTCCATCTCTAGCACCATCTAAGGAAGGAAATACGAAAGGGAGAGAGAGAGAGAGAGAGGAAGGAAAGAAGGAAGAAAGAAAGGAAGGAAAGACCTGCCCTTTTGTAGGTCTCATATCTATATATGTCTGTCATATAAAACTCTACCCACAACACTCAGGGGGAGTTCAGTGTTAAACAATCAGTTAGACCCCATTCTGTAACTGTTGCCTTAGAAATGGTTGATTAGTCCCAAAGAGAGAGGAAGGAGAAAGAGAAGTCTGCCAACCCATCTTAAAACAATCATTGCATTGTTTAGATAAGTTGGGGGAAGGTGCCAATCCCAGTGGTAACTTCTTCTGAACAGTAAAATAGATATGATGGTATGAAATACTTCTATTTTGTACCTTTAAATCAATTTCTTGTTAGCATTCTTCCATTTAAAGTAGACTTTCCTAGTTACTAAATGCAGGATTCATTGAGAATACCAACAGAGTGAGAGACAATTCCTAGTTTTGCTTTGAAAACTAAAATCCAGTAACAGTTTAATGCATTAATGCTTAAGGACAGTTAAAGAAATGATGGGTCTTGTCATGTGTCATTAAATAAACACCCTCTGCTGAAGCATACACCCTTCCATCCTGCACCCAAAGTTCCTCACTTTCACTGCCTTTTCTGTTATGTCAATGAAAGAATGAACACATGTACAAAATCAACAAACCGAGTTCCCCCCTGGGAAATACTCTAAGCAAGGTGCACTGTGGATAGATGCCCAACCTAGCTATGTGCCAAATTGTCAGATTCGCCCCTTCCCAGACTTACCAGCTGAGAGCTTAGGGAAATTTTCACAGGATTTGTTTTTTCTGACACAGTTAGACACATAGGCTTTTTCCTTTCTGCATCACACTGATCTTTAGTTGGGTTAAAGACCCACACTGGGGTGGAGGTTCTGGAGAGAAAGGATTCCTGCCTCTAATTAGAGATTTGTGAGCAGTCTCCTGGTTCTCTTCCCACTGTGATTTTGTGTTTCTTAATTTGTGTCCTTTATTTTATGTCTTCAACTTTGTAAGCAAATTAACCTTTTTTTCCTTTTCTTCTATTTGCAGGAGGCATTGAAATTTTCAGCAGAGACCTTCCAAGGACATATTACAGGATTTTGTAATAGGAAACATATAGAAACTATTAGAGATATTTATTGTCTGTAAATACTGTAAATGCAGTGGAATAAAACTGCCCCCCTCGTTGCTCTATGAAACTGCACATTGGTCATTGTGAATATTTTTTTTCTTTTTGCCAAGGCTAATCCAATTATTATTATCACATTTACCATAATTTATTTTGTCAACTGATGTATTTATTTTGTAAATGTATCTTGGTGCTGCTGAATTTCTATATTTTTTGTAACATAATGCACTTTAGATATACATTTTAAGTATGTTGATAAATGACACAATGAAGTGTCTATTTTGTGGTTGATTTTAATTAATGCCTAAATATAATTATCCAAACTGATTTTCTTCTGTGCATGTAAAAAATAGCAGTATTTTAAATTTGTAAAGGATGTCTAATAAAATATAATCTAATTATACCATGACTCAGGAGGTAAATTACAGCCTTCAGAATTTCTAGGAGAAGGAACATGAAGCAGTTGTTTTTCTTTTTCATCTTTTATTTGAATGCATTCTGAAGCTTAATAAGTTCATCTGGACACATATTCTAACATATTAGTTTTTAGAGAAAAACCACTTCAAATGTATTTTAA